CCAAGTACGTACTAGCTCATGATTCTTATATATTTATAGCGTTGTCAGGTTCTTAACGGTTGGTCAGCTTTGAACGGGCCATAAAAATAAGTAATGTTATTCTATTTGTTAGTTTTGTTTGAAATGTCACTGAACAGAAAAGAAAAAATTCGATAAGTAATTACAAGATGTCCGAGATGTCCAGAGAGTTGACTGTAAGTTCTGTATGGACGAAACACTATGGTTCTTCTTACTAATTCATTTTTGCAATACTCTGTATAGAAACAGTTGTAAAGGCTGCTAAAGTACGTCCTTCCGTGTCGTCAACTATGTTAGAAAAGCATAACTCAGATGAAAAAAGTTTCGATGCTAGAAAAATGGATTTCCCTCAAGAAGCAGAAAAATTACTTCCTGAAGTAAAGACAAAAGTGGTCAACGTTGAACTTTCACCTGAATTTCAAGAAATCATTGACTTCCTCAGCACAAGTATTCATCCATTCCTTGCCAGGCTAAAAGAGAATGGAATCATTCACCAAGAACGAGACCTGGTAGATCTGACTCCTGATTATACAAGATTCGTCATCAAACAACTAGAAGTATCCAATACAAAGACAGTGGAACATGATCAAAATATCAAACTAACCTACAAACTAGCTATTTGCCTGCATGCTCTTGTTGGTGCAATGGATCTTCTAATTCATTGTGGAGTGAGCGTAGCTCTTGGTAAGCTTTCTTGTTAGGATATATGCTATATGTATGAATCGTTTTATACAAATAAATGGTTATAATGGAATATATAACGGTTGTGGCACCTAGGCGTAAGGCTTGGTATGAGAGGGTTCGGAACCACAACATAGCGTAACCAATTACTATGGTCCCTTTCTATCAATTGCAATATTTTGAATACAGTATACGATATGTTATAGGACGAGATGATGTGTTTGATGCTTCTTTGTTACATTTTCAGCACACCTGAGTTACATGCACGAGAAGCACGTAGACTTCATAGGAAACGCCTTGGAATCCATTAGAAGACACTTGTTTAACGCGCACTTCAAGTTCCAGCAGAACAGCGTCCTTCATCCCAAGATAACCAAAGTCCTGGACACGATAAGACAGTGGACTACTGATGATCAAAGATTTAGTGATAATAATAAAGTACTGATTATCGCTAACCGACATACCGATCAACTGTATAAAGAACTAAGAGAGATCATTTCTACCTTTGGTGGGATTCGTGTGTGTTTATTCATGGATACATCTAGAATAGATGGACTTGATAGCAGTGATGTGGTTGTAGCGAGTACAGAGGCTGTTAATGCGGAGCAATTCCCTTGGAGTCTGTTCAGCTTTGTTATCGAGTATGAACACAAAACTACTAGTATTATTAAACCTGGATCGAGTCAAACATTGAGGGAGCATATTGGTCTTGTGATGCACCATGGAGGACAAGACATCATCAAGTCAGCCTGCAATGAGGGTTAGTATGATGCAACTACTTTCCCTTCTTCTTCTAGTTACTGTTGGTTAGTAATAAATCAAAATAAATCACTTTTATTTAAGTGTCTAGTCGTTCTAGCGCTTTCGCACTAATTGGGGACACTTTTCGCTCACACGCACTACCACTACATTTAATAATGATGGTATGATACGGGTGGGGCAAGAGGTATAGGTACACCTCATGCTAACTTTCTCTGGTTCATAAATAATTGTAAAGTGTTTTTGTACATATTCATATGGAAAAGAGGGCTATATAAATATCATATTATAATCATCGTAAAAAATCAGTAATAGTTCTGATGATATACTGACTATATGCATGACGAACAATTGTTACAGGGTCTACTGACACAGGGCAACCCATCTACAACCAAGACCAGTACATCTTTATAGGGTCCAAAAAGATAGTAACAGACACTAGGCTGCTGCATTTACTGGAAGCAAGACACAACATCATGATATACGAGAGAGATTATTCCAGTCTGCTTAAGAGTACAAAGGACAGTCAAAACAAGATGAACTTACAGCCAGACATCCTGATAGATGAGAGGACTTGTATTGTCATTAGTGATCTGCCTGATCTACGAGATTCTACAGAATATGAAAAGCTGAAAGACTTGGTACTGTCGCTGTCACTCAAATGCTTGACGTGCTACGTCATTCTATGCTGTGACGTGTAAGTATCACACCAGCTGACAGTGAATGTCATAAAACAGCCTCTCTCTCTGTACCACAGAGTTATGCACACGAACCATGCACCACCATCTTTAGTGCGTCCTGATGGAGAAATCAAAGGGTGGGAAATGAATTGAAAACTCAAGAACCGTGAAGCGAAAGGGGTTGGAATGTGGGGGACTATAGCCCCCGAACTTTTCTCTATTATCCACTAAATCCACTAAATTCCCAATAAAAGGGGGGGGAGTATAATCCGCGGTCATCATAACTGGTCGAGTTTGCCTGGGCTTTAAATAAGAACTTAAAGCTATTATCTTTTATTTTCCTCCTTAGGGAAACAATTAATAACAAGGTGTCCAGCCATCTATTCATGTTGTTTGCTACCGCAGCGCATTTCAAGCAAACTAAAAATGACTTCAAGCTAGAGATACTGTATTCTAATACAGCAGAAGATACCGCTGTACTGATTCGTAGAATCGGTGACCAGACTAGACAAGACTCGAAAGCATGGGATCAACAAGAATGGGTTAAAAGGAAATGGCTGACAGATGAAATGAGTCTTGTGAGTAAAGAATTAGCTCATCTAGTCTCTCCCGCGATGCCTTTGTGCTAGAACATTTTCCTGTGTTATTCGTACACCTAATGGTGGATCGGCCTCATTTGCTCTCAGGTACGAAGTCCATATGACGCCTCGAAGTCCATATGAGKATGTCTTGGGGGTATGCCAAAGTGGAATCAATTTTCGCCTTCACTTTCGAGATCRATCGTACTGGTCGAGTGAACATGCTGTGTGCGCGGCGCTTGTTCGAATCCTAGCGTAATCTTTTTTCCTCAAACTTTCTGTTTATTTTAAAACTTCTGGATGGGCCATGCCTTGCACACAAGATTGCAGCCTTGAACCAGGACACAATCTTATTTTGTTTTTGTTTCTTTATCCAAAGCATGAGAGATTTCTCCTGTCTTTTCCTTGCATCAACTCCTTCAGGTAAACCAAACATATATCAAATCTCTTTTCTAGCTGTGACTGAATATTCCTCTATTTTAGTATTTTTGTTCCTTTTTAGTGCGCAAGTCATGCTGACAGCAGCGTCTTTATCCCAGTTACTAACCATGACGTTAGACGAACTGAAAGCAACATGTCCTTGGATACCAGTCAACATTCTTACCGTGAGTATCGAGGAGTGTAAATAAATCATTTGCTAGATTGCTAGATCATTTGCAATAGTAGGTTAAAGTGCCTCCAGAAAGTTATTGATCAAGTATTTTTCTATGTATTGATTTATTGCTGTCTTTAGATGTTTTATTGTACAAGTCAATCAAGCTCATCAGCAAATGTAAGGATGCAGTCCCATCATCGTGCCCATACACCACTCTCATGCGAGACATTGCACAATATTACAGCCAACACAGAAACACGTCAAACAACAGATGATCGAGAACACAGCGATATCCACGAGCCTATCGAAATAGTAGACAACACTACAGGTTATCAGACACCGAGCAAGGCAATCAATACACCAACACCGAAGAGTTATGCTAGTGATGATTCATTGTGGCTTGCTATCGAGAATGATGGGGTTGATATAGATATCATCAACACAGATAATCATAGTGCTAATCATCATCATAATCTGGAGTATTTAAGAGAGGTGTTTCCTGAGAACCACAACGTTGAGGAAAAAGAAGCGCAAGGGGACTTGTTGAAGAACTACTTTGATGGCCACCACCAAAATTCTTTCCTGAGATACAACGATGAGCTACCAGGTATATTGAAAGAAAGATCTAAGGACTGTCCAACCTTCTCTTCTAATCCTCAATCCGCAAGCTCGACTGAAAACTACGGACAATATCCAGACAAGAGAAACCATGGTAATTACGACCAAATACAGGATGACAAAGTGTTGAACAGGCAAAGAACAACAAATACTTCAGTGCCAATGTTCCAAACAAGGCGAACCACTGATACGCCTCTGCAGCAAGAAGTATCAAAGAAGAGAATGTATCATGAGTATCATCAGCATTATAGTGAGGTCAGTAATAAGCTTGTTGCCAAAGCAACACCCTTCCTGACGTCAGTGTGCAATTTTTCATATGTTTTGGAATGTTATAGAATGATCCAGGCTTACAAGCCAACCTGCATGACAGAAGAAGTGAGTCCATACCAGGGTCGAGTCTTTTTTGTCATGAATCAAACTGGAGAGAAAACCCTCGTCACCAGGTATCAAGTTACTTTGCAGATACTCAGGAACAAGCGAGGGGGAGTACCAGTGTCAATAGCTTATTTCACAAAGATACCGACAGGTAATTTGTACGAATATTATATTGTTTTCCAAGCTCTTTTTTATTGTTTTTCTTGATAGTTCTTGTTCAACTGAGACGGATATGTGCCATTGACAACTCCTTTAAACTATAAAAATAGTCACGTACAAATGACGTCACTGCAAAACGTAGGTGTCGTGAAGCCTGTAAAAGTTGATCAGCGAAATATAAATATATTAACTCATAGGTTATTGTGTTACTGTCATCAAACTCTTATTACCAATCTTTTTTTTTTTTTCATTTGGTGGGCTGGAAATCAATAATTTCAAGAGGAAGGTTGTGACAGCTCAATTTTGCAAATTTTCTTGATTCTGATTGGCTAATAGTTTCTCTCGGATCAGCTACATTTATATTGATTCAATTTACTCCAGTAACGTTACCTTGCCGTGGCATTTATATTTTCCAATATCTGATTACGTAATTGAGTTAGTATTGATGATTTTAATCATGTTCTGTTCCCAACCAACCAATAATGTCAACAGGCGCATGAATATCAAAACCAATGTTGGTGTAGCACAGCCGTTACGCCGTGCAAAAAGAAGAGAAGATAAAGCAACTCAAGGGGCCATTAGAAATAAAATTCCAATGTTTGAAGATCTATTTGGATCAACACAAATGAAGAATACCAGTCAAAGAAAGGTAAAGTCTATAATTTCATAAAGCGAAGCAAAAAAATAAACCCCGCCCCTCACTGGACGTGCTTTTGTTTACTACAGGTACTAAAGGAACATGAAGTACCACGTCTTGAACCTTCCCCTGAAGGTAAGTTAAACGCAAGCTGTTACCGGATTTTAGAGCTGCAAAAACTTTACGTCATCTATCATTTCTAACGGCACTCCGCAAAAAAATGTTTTTTTTAATGTTAATAAACGTTATCCTGAAAGCGCGATCCAAGTAGGAAAAAGTCTCGTTTAATTTCACTAAATTTCTCACTTTGCATTCATATGTATTTCAACCAAATGAATGGACCACATTTACTTATGTAACTTCACAGATTATTTCAACGATTTGTCGATATTCGCCGCAATAAGTGATAGTCAAGTTCCTTCCAAGAGAGCTAAGCTAACATATGAAATAGTTCCTGGTGCTAAAGGTGGACAAACGAAGCTAACATTCTCCTAAAAAATATTTTATGATGTACTTTACACTATTGTTAGATAAAGGAATGTTAGATTTTCAGGTCATAATAGTACACGACTTTATTGTGAATGTAAATACAAATTTACATGTAAACATTTTGACACATTATAGTACAGTCCATGTTTTTTCCTCTGGCGTAAGCCAAAGAAAGTGCATTCAAGTTATGATGTTAATCAGTCTCTTGTGATGACATGTCATGACATGGTTTACAGACTGAAGGTTCTTTGGTGACTAGAATCTTCATTTCACAAATGCATTCAAAGTATGATTTAGAACATATTTAGTCATCATTCTTTTCTTGCTCTTTTTTTATCTGATCAAAAGAAGGAGCACTTGAAAGTACACGATCAATTAAACCAAACTCCTTAGCTTCCTCTGGTGACAAGAACTTGTCTCTTTCTAACATATCCTCTGAAAATAAAAACACCATCAATGAATTGCAAAACTTTATCATCATTTCTTTACATTTTTAGTCAATCCTGCACACAAAAAATTCAATTGCTATTATAGAAGTGTACCTATTTTCTTTATATCTTGTCCTGTATGTTTCACATAAAGCTGATTAATGGATTTCTTCATTTTTAGTATTTCCTCAGCTTGAATTGCTATGTCAGTAGCTTGACCCTATGACAAGTATCAATGATATTAGTAATAGAGAGAAAATAACAGAGGGGTTCATGCATGAGAGAGCAAGTTAGGTCAATGAGAATTAAAGAGAGGGCAGGGAGGGAGTTTGCAATCCTAGAGAATTTAACATTGAGGGCTCCTTTCTCTGTAAGGTTTTCTTATCACTGTAAACGTTATTCTTGTTATGGTACCAACTGTCCGTCCCACCTTACCTGAGGATTCAAGATGCAACATGATCCTTCTAGATTCATAGATTAAATAGAAGAGGGTCTAGGATTATCATTGATGGTTTAACCCCAGATATTGAATGTCGAGTGACCTGGTTGCACCTATAGTTCCACTAGGTGTACTTCCCCTGCATCTATCTCTGGTATATACTTTGGTATACTTTGGCATATTGTAGTATACTTACATATGCTCCTCCACTAGGCTGATGAACCATGATCCTAGAGTTTGGTAAAGCATGTCTTAACCCTGGAGTACCAGCTGTTAAAAGAAGAGATCCCATGCTACATGCCTGACCTACACACCAGGTTGAGATGGGAGGTTGAATATACTAGAAAATGATTAACAATAACAATCAGTAATAATTCAAGAGATCCCATACTACCCCCAGAGATACTATAGGCAGGAGAATACACTAGAAATGGATGATAATGACAATATGACTCATCTTACTTGCATGGTATCATATATCCCTAATCCTGCTGTAACAGAACCACCTATTATGAGAATTAGAGGATTATCTCATAATATCAAATATAAGGAATACAGTGTAGAAAAGACCCTTTCAGCTTGGGCATAATGTCTTGCCATTTGATAGCAAACCATTCTCTTGAGTATTATTTCTTTGTTTAATGGCTCTGAACACATGAATATGGATACAACTCAAACAAAGAATAATCTTCTCAAAAGAATGATACGTGGTCTGAAATGGAAAAACATTATGCCCAAGGTAAAGAGGTCAGTAAATACAAATGAAAGCACCCAAGCAATAGGATAGAATACCTGGACTGTTGATATACATGTGTATTGGTAGCTTGGCACTTTCAGACTGTAAAAATAATAGCTGGGCAATGATGAGGCTTGACGTCTCATCTGACACCTAAAACACAACAGATGCCATGTTGCATGATACTGAAGGTGATGATGATGGTGATGATGATGATGATGATAATGATTGTGATATATGTTGATAATGATGATGGTGAAGACAGATAATGATGGTGGTGATGATGATGATAATGGTGATGATGATGATAATGGTGATGATGATAATGATTGTGATGATGATGATAGTGATGATTATGGTGATCTTGTGTACAATCATGTATATCATGCAAGATCCTGTGAATTCATGCAGGATCAGGTAAGATTGATTAAGATTTAGCAGGATCTTTAGTAAGATCTTACTTAAGATCTTATAAGAACCTGTTAAGATCTTACCATAATCTTGACAAGATTGTCAACCTAGGAATGATTGTGATGATGATGGTGATGATGATGATAAGGGATGATCGTGATGATGATAATGGTGATGACAGAAGATGGTGATGATGATGATGACAGATGATGGTGATGGTAACAATGACAGATGTCGACAATGATAGTGACGATGATGGTGATAATGAAGGTACTTACTGGACCCATCAGGCAAATAATCCTTTCTTTTAATAGTCTTGAGAAGATGTCATATGCTCTCTCACCACGACCCTGAACAAGTGATAGTCAATATGTCAAGAAATATCTCAACATTCCAACCTGACTACGGTTAGCGTATTTGCACAGAAAATATCAGATATGGTTTGTCAGCGAAATAATGAAAAAAAAAACTTTTGACTCACAGTTGATTCGATGACCATTGGAATCAGAAAATCTCTTCTAGCCGTAGAATGAAACGATCTTGCAAAGCAAGAAAACCTCTGAAATAACAAAATACCAAGTCAATAATACCTGTATATAAAAGAGAATTAAAATGTACCTCAAAAAGGAATCAAAACGTAAAAAAACTTGCTATTACGTGAACAAGTCTTGCCGCCATCTTGAATTCTGGAGAGATTCTGCTGTACTCAAAGATTGCAGTCGTGTAGACTAAATTGTTATGGTATTTCCGGTCTTTTTACTTCCGGTCTCCCCAGATTGCTCTCATGTTTTATACCACAGGTAACCCATGTGACTGAGATGTGTGAGGCCGGTTGTTGTTCATGTGGCTGGTGATCGATCGATCAGCGTTCAAACCCGTCGTTATTCATTATTACACGGGGGAGTTTACATCCAATCAGTAGATTTTATAGCCATAGGATCTTACGTAGTATGATTCTATCAGATATTATCTGACGGAACGATTGAAGCACGAAAAACAGCGGACGACGATGGACAAGATGGTGCTCTTTATTAGAGAACTTTATATGCCAACCTTCTTCACAGCATTAGCTTGCTTTTTTTTCTTTTTATGGGTAGCTTTATTCGTTCTTCACCTCATAGCAATAACTGGAGGGTGAGTAAGACTATGAAATTTAAAAACCCACCACGAAGAAATTTCGAAAATTCCACAACCCACGAGAGACTCTTCATTGTTTAATTTTTTCCTATTTTTCTTCATTTTGGTAGGAAATTGTTATTGTATAAATCTACATCAGCTGTAAACGAAAAAGAGCTTCCAGAAGTGTCTATTTTAAAGGTATTTCTAGAATCCACAGGTTAACACCAGTCTGTACCAAGCGTTACAAATTATTCTGCAAGGTTGATTTCAATTTCAATTCTTCATAAAAGACAAAAACCATTGTTTGAAAGTTTGCGTTGAAATTTTGATGTTTTTATTCTATCTTTCCGTGAATTTATGAAGCCCTTAGCAGGAGAAGATTCACACCTAATCAAGAATTTAAAAACATTCTTCGAACTCAATTATCCCAAGGTTTGTACAAAAAATTCACAAGGAAAAATAATGAATGGGAATAATGATAAGAACCGAAATTTGTATTCATTTTGTCCTGTCGCAATCGTACGAGATTCGCTTCACTGATATTCATTATTTTTGTCATTCATTGTTTGAATTTCTTCTGGAATATAAATATATTATTGATAGAAGATTTTGTTTTATTTTTAGTACGAGATTTTATTCTGTGTTCAAGATGAGCATGATACAGCCGTGCCAGTTGTACAACAACTTATGAAATCGTATCCTCTTGTAGATGCTAAACTTTACGCAGGTAATATTTTATATTCAGTTTACTAAAAAAAAACACCTAAAATATTCCATTGGCTCAGATAATTAGTCTGCTATCGTCTCGCAGATGAATAATCTTCTGATTATTCAATTATTCTCTTCACAATAGTAGTTGAATAAAAAAGTTCATATTTTTACTTCGGTCGTATTGCACACTATTAAACTTAGCTAATTTTTTCTCTTTATTTTTCCATTTTAAAAAATATTAACAAAAAGGGTTTTTGAAGTTATATCATCATGATCAAGCTTTTTTATATTGATATAATAATAATAATGAATTATTTTAAATTGTGAGTATAATTTATTTACAGAAAACGTTTTACACATTTATTTATTTTCTTTATCCAAATATATATTGTTTCTTAAAATAATTCAAAATTTTGGAATGTTGTCAGTATTCTTTTCTTCAACTGATTATTACATATTTTTGTTTGCGTTAATTAATTTTTGCTATTCCTTTTGTCACAAACGACCATTCACACTGTTATTGCATTTACTATTCCGAGAATAAGTGCATTGCTATAAACAACTTAAGGTTTTGCATAGATAAGAAATGTGTTTATGAGAATTGGTATAAATAACCAGCATAACAGCTGTAAAGAGTATTGTGGTTTCATGTGCAAGGTGGATAATATTTAATGCAATTATTTAAGTTCTTCAAACATTTCAGCACATCACATGCGATTCACTTAATTAGAACATGATTAGTTCAATCTTTTGTTGAATATTATCAAGACATGTTATGTAATTGATAGGTTTCCTAATAGGACAATAATCGAGAATAATGTTACAGTATTTCAGCTTAATAGAATGCTCTAGATGATGTATATCAGTATATTTTATATTATATTCAGTCTGTCATTCACATATATATCTGTTATGCATGGCGCAGTCTGTATCCTGAAATAGCCTTTGGGTTCATCAAAGTCAGGGCACGCTGATAACTCAAAAATCAAATATTCCAGTTGGTAGCATACTCCAATGAAGACTAGCTATGACCATGGTCATATGACTTGATATCAATCAGTCAGTTAATTAGCATGGTTAACCCATCAGTTTATGGAATTATTGATATATGTCTGCCATGGATTCAATAAAACACATTCTACATTGGTCTTTGAATACCAAGTCCAGTTAATTAGTAATGAAAATCATATTTTTTGAGTGAAATGAACTATATGTCATTTTGTTTGTTGATTCTGATTTGAAGAGGGTTTTGTATGGTCGGTGCTTTTGTCTTGATTAAAATTGGATTACTGAATCAATAATTAACAGTTAGAAAGTATACCAAATAAAAAAAAAAGATCTGCATTTTGGCCATTGACAGGGTGCTATTTTGAGCCCTGAAGACCAATATATCATATCCAAAAGAACAAATTCATTTGGTTGACATTGGCATGGCCGGTAGGTTCTTGACCATCTGTAGATGAGACCATGGAGATTGTAAGAATTTGAAAGAATACACAAACTGCTTGTTGCAAGATCAATCAAGCATTTAAAGCAAACTGCATGATTCAATGCATGTTTGCACATAAGCACATGGGATTTACTCATGCATGCTGTCATACGATATAGTTCTACTCATGGCTATAGTGTGTTTTGTCACAGCATGAACCATCCACCCATGAATTTCAAACTTATTTAAGTACTTAAATTGCTTTCATTATTTTGTTTCAAAGTTACTTAGACCATTATTATTAGAATATCCCTTTAGTTCCAAAGTACTGCTGTGTTCCTTGATTACGGACTCATTTACTCAGTGTTAGCTTCATATCAGTGTCTAAATCTTTGCAATACAAACACTTTGAAATTTCATGGACCTTCACCGGAGCACATGAATATCCTTGACAAAATCAAGGCTAACACTACAGACAACTCAATGTACGTAGTTTGTCTTGACATTTCCAACTTGAGCATATTTTATGATTATAAGCAGAGATAGTTTGTTTTAAGGTGTTGGAAATTTATGGCCTGTGCCAAAATGCTTGGTCAGAATATTAATTCTTTTAATGCCAAAAAAATTGTGTTTTTAAGATAAAGTATGGTTATTTTGTTTGCTTTTCTTTTACTATAATGGAGGTTTTGCACCATCACATGACGGCAGCCATGTTATATGGCAGGAACAATACGATCGTTTTACATGAGAAAGAATTAAATTCTCGAGAGCAAAGGGATTTTATTGTTCTGCCATCTGCCACAGGCAGCCCAAGCTGTATTACAGGTGTTGGCACGTGATGGTGCAAAACCTCTAATCATCATATAAAACAATAACCTCATGTTATAACTGCTAATATTTCAGAATCCAGGACAGTGGGTGTGAATCCCAAGATCAATAATATGAACCAAGGATACAAGGCAGCAAAATACAAACTGCTCTGGATATGCGACAGTGCTATTCAAGGTATATAAGCAGTGGAAATCCACACTTACTTACTAACTCTAGCTAGTCTGGATCCCACTGACTGGGATAGTTTGGCACTAGTGTTTTAACCCATCCCTCATGGATGTTGATAATGGATGATAAAATGCTTTTATGCTTAAACATCATCTTAGACATCAGCATCAGCAAAACCACCGTCATCATCATCATTATTATCATGACCATGATCATCATCACCATCAGCATCCCCATCAGCATCAACACTATCACCATCATCAACAGCATCATCATCACCTATAGCATCACCAACAGCATCACCATCATCACCAATAGCATCACCATCACCACAAATAGCATCACCATCATCACCAATAGCATCACCATCACCACCAATAGCATCACCATCATCACCAACAGCATCACAATCATTACCAATAGCATCAACACCACCACCAATAGCACCACCATCACCACCAATAGCATCAACACCACCACCAATAGCATCACCACCACCACCAATAGCATCAGCATTACCACCAATAGCATCAGCATTACCACCAACAGCATCACCATTACCACCAACAGCATCACCATTACCTCCAATAGCACCACCATCATCACCAATAGCCCTAGCATCGCCATCAATCTATAATCATCAGTGAAGAAGCTGTACATGTAGTTTTGATTAATTAGATTATGTTGTATGCTTGTAACAGTTCACCAGAAGACGTTACTAGAGATGGTATCTCATATAGGACCTAAAGTTGGTATGGTGCATCAGGTCAGTAAACACTATTCTGACTTGAAGTAAAAAACCAGCCATAATGATTCTGAATATTCCTGACATTCAGTCCTGTGCTTTGTCAGACAACAGCTTGGGATCAACATTTCCAATTCCAAAACATGTGCTAAACATTCTGCAATATATGTTCTTTTTCATTTGGGTATCATCCTCATCTAGCCTCAAATCTTGCCTGATAAAAGGAGAAATAACACTCAAGGGAATGGCATATGGTCTGATATAGGTTATATTGATAATTAATTTTATCCTCAAGATATAAGCATTTTAATAAATTAATGATTTTGTATTTTTAGATTCCATACATAACTTGTAGTCCAACTGCATCCTTTGCTGCTTGTGTTGACCAGGTAATGTGAAAAAACCTTGTTAAAAAACTACCACTGACTGCTATATACAATGTACACAGTACAAAAGCTATTGAACATACTAAACTATAAAGGGAAAGTCCTGATAAAAGTGTTAGAAGAAGCTACAACTGTATGGAGTGCTTCACACATACTTCATTATTATATAACTATGTACACTCTGATTGGTTGAGAAATGTGCTTTATCGGTTAAAGGAGTATGGTTGCTGATGCACACTAAGAAAGCACTTAGGAGGTGCCAAAACCTTTCAAGTTCTTGTGCTTGCATCATTCCTGTGTGCTTTAATTTATTACTGAACAGAGCACTGAAAAAAGCTGTTTCATTGGTTAAGCCCCGTTTACACTGGTGATTTTTGTGGTGATTTTTGCTGCGATTTTTGTGGCAATTTTCGGAAATATAAAATCTTTTGTTTCATCCTTCAAAAGAGACATTCGTCTAGGAAAATCTTGGTATCCTGAAAAAAAMTTTACAAGTAAATTCTTTACCATTATTTATTATGGACAAAATCACAAAAAAATTGCAGCAAAAATCGCCAGTGTAAACGGGGCTTTAATTATAAATGCTTTCTGCCTATAGTTGCATAAATAAGAAAAAGATGCATTTCTTATGGTTTGAAAAGATTGCAGATGGTGTCATCACCATGATCTATTCTCTGACAGAGCACAGTTCTTAACCAATCAGATCGTGCCTGTTCTGGGCCCTATTGACTTATAAATCAAGTTCTTCTACTAACCACCAAGTCTAATGTTTTGTTTCAGGTGTATTTTGGCACGCAGCATGCATTTTTATACTTGTTTGCCAACACAGTTGGACTTGTCTGTGCTAATGGAATGTCTACACTCTACGATAAAACAGTATTAGATGAACTAGGTATGTGTGCACAACTATTAAAGCTATTTCCTTAGATCTAACTATAGACCTCTTGCTGAGAAGGCAGCACACTTACCAACCAAGCAACACTTGCTCCTTAAAACAAGTGTGTGAGGTCACTGAGGATCAAACTATGGACCTCTTGCTTAGCAGGCAGCACAGTAATCAACTAAGCCACGCTTGTTCCTTAAAACAAGTGTGAGGTCACTGAGGATCAAACTATGGACCTCTTGCTTAGAAGGCAGCACTCTAATCAGACAACTAAGTAAAACACAATTTTTTGTTTCTTGCACTATAACCAATGCTTTAAACACACTACTGGTTTTCATTTTAGGTGGATTAGAAGCATTTTCCTGTTATATTGCAGAAGACTATTTCATGTCTAAGGCTATACATGCAAAGTGAGTAAAGTATCAATGCTAAAGGCCTCAAAGAATGGAATCATACGTCGTACAAAATTGCTATGATTTGGAATAAGTTTAACACTACTTGCTCTTGAATATTTAATGAAAATTGTGTTTGATAAGAAGTATACAATAAAATAAAGCAGTTTTTATGACTCATGACTCCACTTTTTGATGCCTTGAGCATGCATTTAGAGCAGTAGCGCAGAACTCTTGATGCATGTATATTGTATATCTATATTTCAAAGTCACTGTCTTCATGATAAACAACAACACAGCTCACACTAGTTTTTAGCTAACAGTAATGATGAAAAGGTAAATTATACACCGTGAAAAGATGAAAAAACGTACTGACGTTTCGGACGCTAGTCCTTCGTCGGAGTTACTCATCTTTTCACGGTGTATAATTTACCTTTTCATCATTACTGTTTCATTAGAAACACCGATGCAGCTCACACTAGTTTTTAGCTAGTTATATCTTCTAGTTTTTAGCTAGTTATAGTTATCTCTGTCTTCATGATAGGAATGTTTGATGTTTTTCAGAGGTTATAAGATTGCCTTCAGCTCAGAGCCAGCAATGCAGAATCCTAGAAAACAATCACTAGAAATCTTCCAAAAAAGAATGTTGAGGTATGAATTGCATTTATTCATTGTGTAGTTCCAGACAATATCCATACCTACCCCATGGAGGGGGTTTGGAATTTCCAAGGGGTGGGGAGGGTCTGAGGAGGGTATATTGTGTAGTTCCAGAATATATCCATACCTCCCCATGGACGGGGATTGGAATTTCCAAGGGGTGGGGAGGGTCTGAGGAGGGTATATTGTGTAGTACCAGAAAATATCCATACCTCCCCATGGAGTGGGATAGAGATTTCCAAGGGGTGGGGAGGGTCTGAGGAGGGGAGCTACAACAATAAGGTATTTCTAATAACAAAAAACCTTTTCAAATAGATGGACACGACTTCGTTTGGCCATGGAACCATTCCCTTCCTACCTGGAACCATTTACCGAGAGCATTGTTATCGGCATTCTAGCCACATGGTCTGTTTGGCATCTATGGGGCATGAATATCATCCTGTTCTTTATTGAACACCTTATTTTGACATTCTTCTTTGATTATCTACTGCTAAGAATTGTTCATGGTGCTCATGTGAGTATAAGTATCAAATATATTGATTTTATTAACTATAGATATGTTGTATTTCACTTGTACAGTGGTACCTGTATTAAGTGGACTTGTCTGGTGTCTGCAAAAATCTTAAAACTTCTAAATTTCAATTGCAGTTCACTGGATAAATAGGAGAAATGCCACTGTGAAAGGGGCACTTGGATGAAAACGCCCCGATTTTTGAAAGTCCGAATAATTGAAGTATTCGAGGATAATATGACTCAATTATAATTATGTAAACCAGATGAGTGAAAATTTTAGCCTGGGAGCCACTTGCTGTTGAGATATTTTGGGTTAAAAGTGAAAAGAACAATAGGGTTGAGTAAATGACGTCATTTACTCACAATTTAGATGCTGAATAAAATTGATAATTTTTCCCGCTACTTTTGATTGTGAAGGAAATATGTTGTTTGGCTACTATCTGGGCCATATAGATAAGTTTATCCAAGATTAAAGTCATTTCCAATTTTCATTGATTTTCAATCCCATTTGTTCGTTCGTCCGTTCGTTTATGTGTTTAAACTCTTAATAATTTTTGTTGCTTATTATTTTTTTGCTGTATATTATTATTACAGTTACGAGGTCCATTGCCTCCATTATGGAAGGTATTTCTAGCATGGTTGTTCCGGGAATTCTTTTGTTTAGTCTTCTTCTTCCAAGCTGCGTTTGGGCGACAGATAGAATGGCGAACAACACAGTTTAGACTACTGAATGGTGGCAAGGCAGAGCTGGTGAATAAATGCAAGGACATTAACAGTCATTGCTGTTAACTAATTAATTAATTATTATTACTAATAATTATTGATTATGATACATTCTATTTATGTAATTTAAGGTGACCACATTCATAGGGTGTGTAGAAATTGACATTTCTAAAATTCAAAAGTAATGTATTTATTTGCAGTATTCTCACCGTATTACTGCCTTCATGTCACCCTCTGTGTTAAAAGACTCAACGGAGGGGATTAAAATAATTTCCCAGGGGTGGGGAGGGTCTGAGGAGGGTATATTGTGTAGTACCAGAAAATATCCATACCTCCCCATGGAGGGGGATTGGCATTTCCAAGGGGTGGGGAGGGTCTGAGGAGGGTATATTGTGTAGTAGCAGAAAATACTCATACCTCCCCATTGAGGGGTAAGATGGGTAATTTGACCAACCTCCATTTGTGGGCAACTCATGAAAGAGTATCTACTGGGATTATCGGTATCACGTATACCCACTGCTTCCCAGTGTCCTTCACTGGGGTGTTCTCAATCACTTAACTAAACTGTGGGTTTTTACACTGGGCACGGGGTTTCTAACGACAAAAGTTTTGTTTGATTTTCCAATACTTACTAATCTAGAAAAATATTACAAGAAATTTATTTTTTTAAATAGTTAATATTTCTTTTATAATTATTATTTAATGGAAATGTTTTGATACAACATTGGTACACTGGGGCAATAAATTAAGTGGTGTTTTTTTATCTCTCTTAATTTTGACAGTTTTATATCTTTATTAATTTCACACAGCAGCTTATAAGCCTAATAGTTGCTTGTATACATAGACACAAATACATCAAAATATGGCAGAATTACAGCCATCAACAAACCTCTTTACCTTGGGCGTAGTGTTTTGCCCATTTCATACAGTGTGTCATTCTCTTGAGAATAAGATCCCTTATTGGACTTGTATACATATTCTTTGCCTTCTTCTATGCAGCCCTTAATCAAAGAAATGATACTCAAGGGAATGACACATGGTCTGAAAGAAATAAACATGACACCCAAGGTAATCATAGCTTATTACGATTTTATGCCACCAATAAGAAGTTTATATTGACAGCTAGTGGGGACAAAATATATTCTGTGTTGTACTAAATGATTAAATAGGACATTTGCATGATGCCGTCATTTACAAAAACTATCAGACTCCCTTGCACACTCTCTTTCGTTCAGGTAATTAGTACAAATAGACATTTTTAGCTTCGTCGTTTGTTGTGCACATTGGGAGTTGACTCTTGCATGTGTAAATATTTAAACATGTTCCTAATAAAAGAACAATTCTCAAGAGAATGTCATGTGGTCTGAAATGGGCAATTTGCATACAAAGGTCATACTATTCTCATGAGGAAATACAAATTCAAATAAGAAAGAAAATTTGTGAAGGATTTTGGTTGTGATAGTAAAATGATGTCATCATGCAAATGACCTATGACTGCAATGTATCACTGGGCAGAGCAGATTTAGTATGGCAGTCAAATACTCCTGGTTATTATGGCTAAGCATTCTTATTGAATGAACAGCAACCTCATGCACTGTCATTGGTTGTTTTTAATCCTGTACGGTGAGTGTGACGTTTTCACAGCCATACAAAATTTACTATATTTCCCCAGCATAATGTATGGTGTTTAAACCAGGGTAGAAAAAAGAAAGGGAATTGAATATCCATGCGAAATTGTACTATTTAATGACAGTATTTCATTAAAAGAAATGAAGTGTTGGTATATGAATGACTCTAGCCGCCTTGTTACACTCTTTGCTTACCCCCCAACACTCAACAGGGTATGGTTTTTCGAGCTTCTTGATAAACAAGGTATGCAATTTCACTCAAGTTCCAAGTTCGTCCTGAGTTTCCTGTCATATTCAGGGTTTCTACTTTCGTATTGACCGAAACTGGTTATTATGGTCGTAAAAAACGATACGCGAGATGACGTGATAATTGAAACAGGAACTCAGTGCAATAAATTATATCTTTTGTCATAAACAGGGTCTACAAATTTGAGTTTTTTTGTCATAAACAGGGTACCCCTTTCAGGAGGTGGCAGGAATATATGTTGCACGATATTTATTATACTAAGGGTTTGGAAACTAGTAGGACTATATTAAACCATGGCAGATTAAATTCCACTCGTTCCTCTCGTTCTTTTTCATATTACGCTATTTTTCGTGAATTTTCTAGCTATTAGATACAAAACTTCCTTGTCGTTCGACGTTATCACGTTTTGACGTCATTCAGTACAGTAGACTGTTGCTACTGGTTTAGTGTGATATGCATAATATACACATCTATTGTGTATATATAGACATAATAGACACTACGCAGTCAATAGACATCTACTTTGTATAGCAGATAATCTTTGAAATAGGGAAAATTTACTATGATGCAAGTTCCGTTAAGTGTTACTAAATGCATCCCACATGGAAAGGAGTGAGTATGCGCTCAAAGCCATCGGCGTCACAATCAAGATTTTTGAGTGTGCTGGTCATAGCAAGGGGTTAATAATCTACGGTCTAGGGGCCGACTAACCTCTCCTTTAGGCTTCGGCCGAGCTTCCTGATCAGTCTGTAAATCTTCGGATAGCGGTGTCGGGGTCGAAATCTCCGGCGTAGCCGTAAATGCTTCGCGCTGCCATACGACGGTTCAGCACTCGATGTCTGGAAGTATGGTCCTTTTTCAATGAATCAAAAAGTAAAAATCCCAAAATCATGTTTCCATCGCATGTGTCTATTATGCCTATATGTACACAATAGATTTCTATTTACTGTCTAGGGTATATTAATGTCTATTTTGTCTATATATACTAACAATAGATGTCAACTAGCACATTTCTGATATTTCGCGCTAGCATTCTAGTCCTTTTCAAATGCCTCATTGCTTTAATTCTGGATTCACTACAAATATCAAGAAGCAAGTTTGTTTCTTCAAAACCCCAATTTTGTCCCCTTTTAGCGATTTCAGCGAGCGAGTGTGCAGACAACAGGCGCGCGCGTCCGCTTTGCGGAAAACTACCGCTCGGCCAAAAGTACTAGAGATAAATGGATTTAATATGAATTGGTATCGTTGACAAAAGAAGCTAAATAGATCGGCTTAGTTAAAATCTATCTAAAATAAACAACCCTTTCGAGCCGCTCTAATTTAGATCACTTGTGATCGATCTAAATGTAAGTGTAAACAGTATAAATAGTGTGCGAACGAATCGAATCGAACTAAATTGCCCTGGTGTGACTACGCTGTAAGAATCACAGTAAGGCGTAATGAAATCAGAATGAAACGATCTAGAACTACACGCATGAGAGTAGAGCGTTTGACACTGTCTTATTTTGTACTGTTTGCGCATCAACTTAGCATCGAAATTTTGTAGAGAAGAGATTCAGAAACGGACTACGGTATTTTGGAAATAAAAATGAGACGAGTTTGCGGGAAATATGGCTTGAGGATAAATGGATGAACAAAAAACTTTAGAGAAAACTTGAGAAAAAGGAAATAGATTGAGAGAAAGGGAAAATAACGAGAATAAATGAGAAAAGCTATTGATATAACACGGCCACGGAACTGTATGCCCTGTGTCGTCCATTGCTTGCGAGAAGACAGAGGGAAGCTTTTGTAATCTCAGTTAACAAAAGCTTTAGGATTTTCGACATGATATCGGCAATTGACCGTGAGAAAAACTTGAGTGTGCGCAGCCATCGGCTTGTTTTGGGTATCATTTCAAAACATGCAAGATTGAAGACAGATACGTGAGTCGTAATCTACAGATAGATCTCTTCCTCGCGGGCATATATGATAGGAAATCTCACCGGGAAACCAATTACCGCGTGTTCTGGAAATCTCTTTGTGTTTTTGTATAGAGGTAATGATTTAAAATGGAGTAATGTACACTTTCACGTCTTGTGATTACAGCCGAAGGGAACAATCTGATAAGCTGATATGGAAAGACATTCCATTTAACAAATAAAACAGGTTTTATTACGTGCTCCGTTCAGTAATGAAGCACGCAAGAAGTGACGTTGAGCACGAAACAAGTGTGAAGCTTGTCACCCTTCCTTCGTACTCGTGAACTAAGTGATTTATTACTGAACGAAGCACGGAGAAAAACGGCTGTTTTATTTGTATTTTTGATATAGAAAGAAAGAAAAAACGTAGTTTTCGATGCTGTTTCCTCACGATTCTTTGCAAACTTTTGCTGCGCGCGTTTTGTTATTGCTGCAGCTGTTGTTGTTGATGATGTTTTTATTGTTCGTGTTGTAGCAGTAGCAGTAGCAGCAGCAGTAGCAGTAGCAGTAGCATTATCCGCCTTGTTTTGCGTTTTCATTGCTTTCAGTCAGCGTCACTGATAAGTAATGGTAGTCCTTGAACATTTCCGTTCTCACAAAAAAAAGTAAAATTTCTCTGTTGTTGGTATCATTCTCTTTTGTCCTCTTAGTACAATAAAGAAACGATAGCTTGTGTCTCAAACTGATATCCCATCATCACCTTCTTTCCATTTTCTTTCATCGTTTATTTTACACAATAATGCGATAGGATGGTATAAACAAACGCGTATTCAACTCAGCTGAATAACGAGTTAAAAAAAACCTTTAACCGAATAGAAACTTCTACGGTCTTATGATCTCTAAATCTTATATCATACTTGTCTGGTTGTTAAGCCATGGAAAGCTTTTGCTCTATAGGAGGGGAGGGTGAAGCAAGTCTGAAATATTCAAAATATTTACAAAGTCTACCACAGCTGTCTAAGACTCATTTACATACCCATTCAATAGTCATGTCTTATTAAACATGTAATTTTAATTTCTGTTTTTTGGCTCCCATTTCTATAACAACGGGCTTACAACCAACATAAAACACAAACGCTTCCCTCTGAGCAGAGTCGAAAAGTTCTAATTACTTGATCATTTTGAGAAAAAGATTGAAGACCCGAAGAAGAAGCCATTCGAGTTAGGTGGAAGAAGAAAGATGAGTCAACAACATGCTCCTTCGAGTGCTTCGTCTTTAAGTAGTGGACCTACGTTGATAGGAATGATTCGGGCAAGGAAACTTGCCACGAAGATCAAAAAGAGAGCTCAGTTTCTTGTGGCTGAGAGAAGACGAATGGATAACACTGGAAAAGCTGTTACAGTTCATCGCGACTTCCCGAAAAACACTCGCGTTGATGACCACCTCGGAATTGGAAAATCCTTCCATAATTTAAGAATACAAACTCCAACTCAATCGAGATCTCCAAGCGTAGGTTCAAAACAAGGTTATTCTACGGCGATTAATACGATTCAAGAAGTAAAAAATACCTACAGAACAGAACCAGTTAATAGGTTTTCAAGAAAGGAAGTCACAGACGTGATAGAGGAAGTTCTAAGCGAGCATCTGGAAGGGCAAACATACAACTATGAATTCTGCAAAGACACGAGTAAAAAACTGTCAGAAGTTATTAAACAACGAGTGAAATACATGGGTTATAGCCGATATAAGTTAATATGTGTTGTATATATGGGACAAGTAAAGAACCAAGGTATGAGAATCGCTTCACGGTGTTTATGGAACACGGAGTTTGATAACGTGGCAGAAGCGTCATACAGAAACGGTGAACTATTTGCCGTTGCTACGGTTTTTGGAGCCTTTTATGAATAAATTTAGCTTAAAATTCCCTAATTTTTACTGAATTTTCTACGACTAGAATACGGTATTTAAAGAGTAAACTCGTCTGTTCGACATTTTGAAACACTAATCATGAGGTAAAATACTTTATAGATATGATGGTGATAGGGTACCGTGGCTTGGGTCGTTAATGAAGCTTGACGATTTGCCAACTTAGCGAGTAGTTGGATAATCGCCGAGTGAATTTTAAAGCCAAGGAACAAGTCTAGCAAAGATTGAATACAAAACATGTTGTTTAAAAGTAATAGAGATTACAAAGAGAATTTGCTGCACGTTGTCACGTATTTATTTGTGCAGAATAAATAAATAAATAAAATTCTATCAACTGTAGGTCATTTATCTCGAGAAATAATAAAGCAGAATGAAAGGGAGAAAATTGAATAAAGAATTCGTTATTTTAAGAAAAGGTTGCCATATTTCCAAAGGCGAAGACAAAATATCTGGTTAGCGTTGTTTTTGTGTTATATTTAATTATATTTAAGGTTTTTCTTATTCAATACAAAACCCGACTGTTTTGACTCTAAAAAGCAAGATTCAAACCGGTTGCTTGGTTAGCACTGGTCTATCGGAAAACAGGTTGGATATCACTGAAAGGTGATAAATTGTAGACAATTTTTATAACTTTTACTCACTATTATAATTAGTTAGATAAGCTATATATAGTACAGCAAAATTAAATCTTAAAATATAATAAAAAACACTTGTATACTAAAGCAATTTTGTAGCAATGCAAATATATATGACTGAATTAAAAATATTTGGCACTTTGAATGATTTGTAGAATTGACTTTACAAAGCCTAACCAGGGGTTGCCAGGGGTGACGGTTAGAGAAGTGGGTGGGGAAGTCGAGTAATACGTAGCATAACACTTGTAAGTGTAGATAATACGATAGAACATGGGTGTGTATGTCACGCATCATCATGCGTGATGTAACGCAAGATACATGCAATAAAGGAAACCCCCACAATGTACGACTGTGTTTAATTTTGTTTTCTTCGAATGAGGATAAAGATTCCCTACTTTGATTTTCCCTGGTATGTCTAATACTAGTGCAGAAACAGAATTTCAATTCCATTCAAAAGAGTCATGTTTTCACAACTTCTCAGTCCCAGCAGGGAGGTGGTCCCAGTGATGAACCCTGGGGAACACTCCTGGTTGGTAATTTTATTTCCTATTCCTAGTGAGTTAAATCCTGGTCCTATTCATGAACCTTTGGGGAATCCTATGTTGACGATTCTGTTTGGCATTTCTGGTGTCCTTAATTCCAGTCCCAGAAATGAGCCTTGGTGAAATATCTGTTGGTGATTCTATGTACCATTCCCAGTGACCTAAATCCCGGTCCTAGTGATGAACCTTGAGGAAATACAAAGCTAGCAATCATACGTATCCACGGCAACCACGCTAAACGTAGCAAGCACATCACGTGTTTTCAACACAACACACAAAAAAACACGAAAAGCAATCTAAGTATCATTCTACAAATAGAAACCCGTCCAAGTTTAATGTCAGCACAGTAACGCATAACTCACGTTCATAACGCGTTTTCACGAAGACTCAAAATCTTGCATATAGGGATCACAGTCTCATTCTACATACAGAGCGAATACCGACGCTTGTCCAAATATCTTATCACTACTAAAGCACTCAGTAGCAAACGTATCAAAAGCAGGATTCCAAAGACAACGACTCGTAATCTGCATTCCTTGGCCCATAGGCTTTCCAATATGAACCACACAAACGATCTTGAATCGATTGACTAGCCATGTCTCCTTGACTTTATGTTTGATCTCCTCGCTCAGCTTCAAGCATAATTCTTTCGCCTTTTTTTCGTCGTATTCTTTTTCCTTCAAATGTTTTTCGAGTATTTCTCGAATGTACGCTTTCGTCTTACCAGGAATAAATTTCTGGTCAGGAATCATTTTGTATGTGTTTTCCAACGCGATATCTTTTGGCATAGCACCTCGAATGCTGTCTCCACATTCACTACTGGGCACAAGAGAATACTTATTGCTTCTGCTTTGAACCATTGAGATTGAAGGATTCCGGAAAGTCGTGGTTTTACGTGTAGACAACATTTTGCCTGTCGTTACAAATTCTGAAGAAAACTTTAAACGAATCTGCAAGATTTGGCAAGTAGTTTGTTTTCGTTTAATTCAAGTTTTTTTAACTTCTGGCGAAGTTTTGAGACGAAAACAGCTGTTCAAAGAACAGACCGAGTTGAATTGCTGTTCTTTCAAGAAAATATAAGTTTGTTTTTAAAGTTTTGGTGTAATCTCACTTAGTAACGGAGCGCTTAAGTGATTAATATTATGACTAATTAAAACGTTCTTTCTTTAGTGCGATTAATAACAGATAAGTAGGGGTCGTTGTTAAAATGAGAAAGAGTTCGACTCCCTTGGGGATGAGAAGAACGAGCCGTAATACGACTTTTATAAAGTGAAATGTTTTGAACTATTTTCAACGCGAAGCTTTGTCAGGGAACTGGAAGCACAAAACTGATCCTAAATAAGATCAGTACGACACACAGTTCATTACGACGGATTGATTTAACCATGGTGTTTAAGAAATAAAACATTATAGTTTAAACGTTTTGTCAGCAGCCTCGCAGATTTGTAGTTTTAGATACACGCGATTTGTACTCATTTTAACAATTCATTAAATGAGCCATGGTGACAACGTTAAATGACAATGGATGGCATTTTTGCGACCCAGAATCCTCTACGAACGCAAGCACTCGTTTTTAATTAATGTTCACAATATTTTGGTGTTAATTACGCCAAAATACAAACACCCGAAATGGGTTCTGGTTGTTGAAGGATTAAGACGTAGCTCAATTAACCATTTTTTTAAACTCTGGTTTAAAGGATATCACGCGCGCACCTTATGGACGTTTGCAGAAACCTTGAACAAAATGAACTCAAAAATCATCCCAAATAGACCATAGGTTGGCCTTAAATAAGACATATATATATGTAAACTGAAATAACCACATATAAACAAATTAATAATTCGTATGAGTGTAATTTTTGGCCCCATATCTATAGGAAAGAAAAGAGTGCTGAATCATTAAGACAAAGTGCATTCAACAGAAAATTAACTAGTTTATATTCTCTTGGTGGATTATAAATGCAAGTTACCGCATTAAAAGTAGATAAAAAAAGCTAAAAGTTAACTTATAGACAGCTGAAGATTTTGAAAACTGTACAGAAAGAAAAAAAGTTGGAGAGCGATAGAGAGAAACAGAGAGAGGGAGGGAGAGAGTAAATGCGAAAATGAATAAATGAATAAGTAACGTATTGGTTGTCCAACCTTCTGACGTTGGCTGTGGTACAACATGGTGTTGAGTCATTGTCTTAGGGCATCATTAAGCACTCTGATTGTGTTCAAGGCAGAAGATAGCAGCTGTAACACTTGACACCCCGTAATTTGGACATATTCTTTTCCAACAAAAGCGACTCATCATTCAGTATTATATCTTCAGTTGTTGATGTGCTATACAGTATTTTACAACCTGGACTATTGGCTCGCTTTTTCGACTTAGTAAATTAGAATTTCAAGTCAAGTTCGTTTGCCAAATAATTAGCTCAATTTTGGATGACAATGTATGGTCAACGTAACTCCTACATCATTAGCGCGTGTTTTTATCAAAATAACGAATATTGAAGATCCCGATTTGAATAGCTTATTTTTGTTTAGCTTAAAAATAAATTGAAAAAGTACAGAAAAAAACTAGTTATTTTACGAAATGCTAGTCCAAATACGATGCTAACTCCTCCTAGAATAGAAGTTAATCAATTGGACGCGATAACCTCCTACTAGCAGTCAAAATTAACAACCTAATTCTCCAATTTGGGTGATTTCTTTAGCGCGCCGCTAAGAGTGAAGCAACCCATTCAATCGTTCATTAACACAATATCCAATGATTTCAAAAACACTGCCACGATGATTAGCGTTAGAAAATGCCTTGTTCAGATACTCTAATTATGAGTTTTTGTTCTGTAGCTTATATTTGTCTGTTTGGTGCAAAAAACAGCGTAGAGTCTTAGGAAAATTATCTGAAATAAACTTGAAGTTTCTGAAGCTTTTGATGAACAAGCAGAGAGTACGTCAATTTAAAGTTTAAACCTTGCGAGGCGAGCTCGTATTTTTTTTCTTTGAAAGAGAAAACCATTCATTTCCGTAAAAAGATATGGCTAATTAGACTGTATTGATCTGTGCAAATTAACAAAAAACGCGGTCCGCTAACGAATATGGTTATTTAGAATCTAGTCGGAGTCACAACAAGACGCGTGGTGCGGACGACTGCATTCATTTGGACGAGAAGAAGAGTCGTGGATGTTTGAGCGAACATGATGCCAATTAAGAGAAAATATGAGGCGCTACAAGACGCAGAGAATCGAGTTTATCGGTCGACGTCTAAAATGATGATAGACGATGAAGACCTTTTGATCTTACAACCGGCTTGCAGGCTACGAGATTTGGAGATTCAATGCGTCATCGAAGAAGTACTACGAGGTAATTTAAAAGGAGTATTCTACAATGCTTGGGATTCGGAGGCAAGGAGTTCTTTCCTTCGTGAAGTTATTAAGCAAGAGTTACGAAAAACACGCGTCAAGTTATCAAGTGTAGCAGTACTTGTGATGATCGGAGAAGCTAGTGATACAAGCATCGAGAAAGCAAGCCATCGAGTTTGGAAACCTGACTACGATAGCTTTACATCAGCTTGGTATAGGAACGATTCAATATTTGCTATTGGAACAGTATTCGTAAACTACGACGCCTCAGTTCGACATGTATAGACTATTATAGACTGTTATAAAACTGTAAAGGAATCAACAGAACGCTAAAACCTCTTTCCAGGGTTAACCAAAGATTTCAATAGCATAAAACATCGGTTACAGAGTTGAAGAGTTTAGATGTCAGGATGAATGACAGTTGTGAGAGAAACACATGTTAAGTTCACATCATAGTGTAGTAGTGTTTCCTCAAGAACAAGGAAAACAAGGTCAAACTTTAAGCTAATAAAGCTTCATTTTAGAGCAGTTTAAGATGAAACGCTGCAAGACTAGCCTGGTTTTGTTGAAAATTTTCACGAGAAGAAATACGAGAGAAAACAAGACAGAGAGGTGCTTCCTTGAAGCTCAAGAATGAACTAAAATCATAAGATAAAGATATCAAAATCTCTTTTGCTTGTATTAGTTCATTTTTCAAAATTGTAAAGATTTTTCACGATCGTTATGAATAAATGAGTTCAAAGTATTTCGAACGAAGAAGTCTTCAAACTTTTAATCTTCATAAATTTTGAAGCCTTTTTATTTTGATTCACTCACAGGAAAGTCTAATCTTTCCTCGCATTTCGCTTTAAATAATTAAACTAGTCTTTCGTGAATCCTAGAGAATTATCAACAATCGGTTGGTTTGTATATATATAACATATTCATTAGCCAAAACCAATTTCATAACACACGGGAAGTTTAATCCTTCATCTTTTACCCAAAGAGTAGTTCGCGCCAGAATCAGAAAGTTGTCTCAGAAGTTCCTCTTTTCTTAAAGATAATTTCTTTCTTTGAAAACGGATTTTTTCTTATTAAAATTTTTTTCAACTTTAAGTGAGTTCTTAAGATTTAAGTACCTTGGCACTTCCTAAAAAAAAACTTTCGTAATGAATGGAATCTAGACCGGGCTTAATGAACTATATTGTTCAATCAGCTAAACTATCCCCTCCAAACTCTAAATTGTCTGATCTAATCCTAGCTTTATTGTATTATTTTTTATAGCTTTCTTGCGATAATGTCTTTGAGTTTTAGAGAACAGAGACGCTAACCGCATCAAAGGCCTTGCAAAGTCCTTGATTCGTATTCAATAAAGGCTTAACGCAACTACAGGAATAGAGTGAACTTTTTATATCTGTAAAACTATACACCATCACTGAACGAATTGACCAATTCATTTGTACCAATCAAAGCGCAAGATCATTGATCAGCCAATCAGAATACTCGAACACGGCACATTTTATCATCCTTTTTTCGTGAAAATTGATTGGACTACGATATTATGCTTCATAAAAACAAGCGACCCAAGCACAAGGGGTACTCGACTATCCCTGCACGTTATGCGACATAATAAATCCATACCGAACTAGCGCCACGCTAAACTCTTAACAAACTACAGATCAACTAATCTCTCATTTTTTACCAAATGAATGCAGGTGTTATTTCAATGGGAAACTGTCGACCTATTCATAGCATTAGTATCAATGGGTTAACTTTAAAAAAGTGGTGCTTAAACGACTTCCGCACAAGAGCAAATTTAAAGCAATAGATCTTTCTCAAAATTACCTTTGGAAAACGAGAATACAAACGAAAGGATACATAAACTCCACCGAAAAAAAGCGCGATGTTTTTTGTAATTTCATGTTGGCCTCGGGTCTATTTTATTGGTTTTACGTTTGGGCTTTTGATTGGCTGGCAGCGGAAATGATTTGAATGCATCCACGCTTATAAATATATAATACGAATATTAAGATTAAGCTTACCATTTTTTTGGAGATCATCCATAGAATAGTTTAGGTTCCGTTATCCATAGCTAAACATAGTCCAGTCCTCGGATAGTCACCTTTATTCTCCAATACACCAGACGGAGCGCAAATCCATGGATCATCCGTCACGTTCTGCCAGACTTGAAGCTTAAGCTGAAGCGATTCTAACACTTTTTGATAATCTGGTTTCCCAGCAAGGTTTGTTAGTTCTTTGGGATCTGTGTTGATGTCGTAAAGCTCCCATTGTGGTCGATAATAGTAGCCTTGTAAATTACGGTACCAGTGAGTCTTCTGGCCTGCGCGAGTGCGATTCAAAAGATCTTGGAATGACGGTGAAATCATGAAATCTTGATCAATGGGAAAAGGCATTTTGTAGTTTATGTTATGTATGAGTTTGTAATGTTTAGTTCTGATGACCCTCATCGGATAATACATTGTTACCTCGTGTAGGTTATGGCTCGCATACACGGTATCCCATCCGGTCGATGGTTCATCGTCTAACAAAGGTAGAACACTCTTTCCAGTAAGGCGGACGTTATTAGGTTTGAAAATTTGATACGTCGGATAAGGAACATTAAACCAATCCAAAACAGTAGGGACTATATCTACTAGGCTCACTAGCGCATCACTAATTTGTCCCCATCGCTCCTTATGGAGAGGGGACGAGACAATAAAGGGCTCGGCCATTCCAGAGTCAAACAGATTAGTTCTCCCAGATGGAAAAGGTATACCATTGTCTGAACTGTAGATAACAAGTGTTTCGTCTTCAAATCCTGCATTTTTGAGTTCTTCCAGTATCAGTCCTATTCCCTTGTCTAGGCGTCCAATAGTCGTGTACTGAGCTGCCAGGTCCTGACGGGCAGCTGGGGTGTCCTGGACGAAGAATGGCACCTCGACGTCTTGTGGTTTGTATAGTGTTGGTGTCCAGTCCGGTATCAATCCCATTCCTGGCGCTCCGTTACCAAACTTTTCACAGAAAGTACCTGGAAATATAACAAGAATGAAAAATTACCATCTTCACCATCAAAACGCTCGCCTGTGCTAGAGGCGCCTTCACATGATTTTAGTTCAGTCCACTTCATTGAGCTGCGGTACAGCTGTACTTGCGGTGGTGATTATCGAAAAAGACGCTTTTTTTCACCGTCTTCGACGTCATGCACCATCATTATTATCATGAACATCACCATCACCATCATCAACATCTATCACAATTATTTTCATCATCAACAACACCATCATCACTTTCATCATTCACCTGATGTTAGTATCATTAAGGCCGGTTTAGACGGTAAGATTTTCGCCTACAACTATCGTATACAACACGCTCACGTCTGTCGTAGGCGAGWTGTAGGCTTGATTTACACGCTACGACTCGAGTTGTAGGATGGCGCGAGCGTGTTGTATACGATAGTTGTAGGCGAAAATCTTACCGTCTAAACCGGCCTTTATATTCTTACATACCATACATGGGATGGGTGTGTCCACATCTGTGTGGGTCATGGAATCCAATGTAAAGAATAAAGGGACGAGGATCTGTCTGTGACCCTGTGAAGAACTCATGGGCAAGCTCTTTGATGTACGTTATGTTCCTGCCAACTTGCAGAATGGAATGGTGCTCTTCGGTGTAGGCAAACTCAAATGGATAAACCTGGAAAGACACACAAGTATAAAATGAAAATTTCAAATTATTATTCATCTCGCAGATCACTAGCTCACTCAGTCACTCACACATTCATTCATCCACTCATTCTTCCCTTCCTTCCCCTTCTTTCCTTTCTTCCTCCTTCCCACCTACCTGCCCATTTACCCAGCCACCCACCTA